AGAAAAAAACCCCTTATATATTATACAGGCATTGGCTAGAATTCTCAGCTCTTAACCACCACACCACCTGCCGACCCCTAGATCCCAGATTTTAATAGGATGCTGGAAAACTCAATTATAAGTTGGTTTTTTTTTTTGGCCTGCAGGACATAAAAAAAAAAAAAAAACCCTAAAGATAAAATAAAATCGGATGCAGATATCAAACTTTTCCATATATAATACGACTCCATTTGCTCCTTAGGCAACTACATTTATTCAGAATCCTTGGAAACATACATCAAACATTAAATAGGTTTTTTTTTTTTTTAATTCCATGAGTGAGAGACACAGAGAGACAGCGAGACAGCACCCCTGACAGGGTCTTTTGCCATGACCCACACCCAGCCTCAGCCAACCCAGATCATAAGCAAATACGTACCTGGAGTACTCAGGGAGGTCTCCAGACACGAACCAGTAACCCTCTCATGTACACCTGCCTTACAGAGGAATCACGTCTTATCACTGCCCCAGCGACTGGACCCTCAGCAGTTTCATTTTTCCTGGTTTACTTTCCTCTCATGATAACTCCTATTACTGACATCATTCCTGTCTTTAAATGGCACAGATGATGAAGCTAAAACAATACATGTTGTTATAAGAAAATGATTTTTTGAAAAATTCCCATCTTCCTATCCTCTTAGCTTCTCAGTGATTTCTGAGGCAAGCAAATCTTTTCGGCAAGGTAATTACGTGTCAGTCATGGTAGCAAAGACAGAGCCAGCTCTGAGAAGAACTAATGCTGTCAATTTACTACAAGAAGCAGAACACGACACAATTCCTTATCAATAGACTTTTAGTAGCACGAGCTAAAAAGACAATGTATAAAGAGACACAACCATGATATATTATTTCAAAATGTGTATTTAATGGCCATTCCATCAAAATCAAGCAGAATCACATTTCGAAAGTATTACAGGTATATGTCATTTTAAGGTGCATTTTCAAGTTTTACTTGCGCTTGGTTTCTTCTGGGCTGCCTGAGGTTTTCTTGCAGATATAATCGACACAGAACATTCTGAGGCTGGTAGCTTCTCATACATTGAAAGACGAGACCCTAACAACACTGCAGGTCCTCAATACATGAGAAATCGCAAAAGCCATGTAACATTGCAGAAAACTTAATATCAGTCCGGAAAGACGTTTTCAACATAAAATTTAGGCACTCTATACTTTGGAATAGCTACAAAATATTCCAACAAGAGTTAATGCACTTTGTGATTACGTCTACTCAAAGATAATTCTCAGTTAAGATCTATGCTTGTTAAATAACATATTACATTAGAGCCCATCGAATTTTTGATAATTACTGTGAATCATTTGCAGCATTGTGTTGTAGTTAAATAGTGTTGACTACGACTACTATTGACCCTGGTACTCATCCTTCATTGTCCTTTGTTTGTTTGTTTTTAAATATAGAGGACCCTATAATCTTCATTATTTAAGCATCTTCCCCTTTTCTTGCCAATATGCAAGAATGCCCGTAATTGAATCCAGAGTTGTTCTTTTATTCCTGCTATAGCTGCTGTCTTAGCATGCCAAACCTTGCCAATGGAAGGCTCCCTGGAGACCAGCAACAGGAGCTAAACATGTTCATCACCGTTCCGAGGCTTCGTTCTGCCTGTCGCTCACAAGTGTTGTGGCTAAGCAGGCTGTCCACCTAGGTTCCTGCATTCTGTGCTCCTGGACTGACTGGTGTGGAGGTACGGGGAAGGACAGTCACACTGGTCACTTTACTTTGTACAAGACCAAAGCCCGCCAAGCCTCGTTGGACTTGAGGCAAAACGTCCTGATCTCTGCAATGTGGTTCTGAGATGCTACCTCATCTGAAGACTGAAGGGGAGACAGGAATGATACCTCCCTACTCAGACACCATTAACTCCAGATGAACTTCCTGAACTTGAACATGATTTGACATTGTTAGAGTTTAGAACATGGGCGTTAACTGTTCCTGCAGAGAGCAAGGTGCATGTGCTCCGCGATATGCATTTATGGAGCTGAGAAAACACTTAGAAAGCCTTTTTGAATTTTTACATTATAGTCAGTAACTCATCTCATCAAAATCACCAATGGCTGACTGATAAAGATCCATGCAGAGAAATGGATTGGAGGCTTACCTAACTAAATCGTACAGAAGAGAGCATGGTCATTTCCCACAGGAGAGCCTTGGCGATCACAGGTAAGTGAATGAGATTGCTAATGTTTTCTGGCTTACTCGAAGAGACAATTGGCCTAAGCAAACCATGGGTGGATGACAAGCTGCTCAACATTCGTTTCTGTTCATCGAATGGGATCTGAAGCTGGTGTGAAGCTCAGTATGTGCAGGGAGAGAAGGGGACAGGGGTGAGAGGCTGACAACTCCAGTTTTGTCAAATATAATCAGAAATGGTTGCTACTAGTTGGCAAACATCAATGTTAAGTGCAAAATAGATTAAGACTCATTCAAGCTGTGGAGCATGACCTCATCGAGAGGTGACAGAAGCTGGGAAACACTGGGGAGATGATCGTGGACTTGAAAATTCACGTGAAGCCTTGGCCACCTTTCCTGAGCGAGCGTGTGGGGTGGTCAGAATGAAGGTGAACCTTAGGTGAATCCTGGCTGCTTTCCATCCCCACCCAGAACTTCATCTTCCTATGACATGCTAAACATCTATCTTGAGATCAGGTCCCATGGCTCATGACAGTACCGTTAGGGCTACAGTCCCTCTCTGGTGTTTCAGAATGGCAACAGCTTGCTCATGAGTAACACCTTCCAGCGGCTCACCATTAACAGCTAAAATCTGATCGCCACGCTTTAATCGGCCGTCATCTGCAGCTGCTCCCTACAAACGAGAAACATTTCGCTTTAATCCAGGGCGACGCAGTTTATGTTACATTAATATTAACACCTCTAACTTGTGGCTGGTGTGCATAGTTAAAGAGTAAATTTAAAAATGACAAATTGAAGATTTTTTAGGCCATCTTTAAAATGATGAAAAATACAGGCCACATTGTTTGAATAATAATAGTTGAATAGTAACCCCAATTATCTATCATCTAAGTAACAGACTAGCAGAGACGTATGACACTCCCATTTCCTTTAATACCAGTAGAGCTTTGCTTCAATATTCAGTATTAAATGGAATCGGATGTCATATTATGTCATATTCATGTAAAATAAAAATATGGCAGGTAGAACTGAACTGATGTCATTCTTATTGCCAATATCAGCATGACACATGGTTTACATTGCATTATGAAGCCTTCGGCACTGTGATCTATCAAAAATAGGGGTAGCCTTTAAATGGGTGAATCGTATGGAATGTGATTTACAACTCACAAACCCCATTTTCTAAGTGTATAAATCTACAAAGTGTAGCATCTTGAATATTCTGTAATATCAGATTCGAAAGCTCCAGCTTTATCTTTGATCATTTAAATAGATTTCTAAATGACTACTTACATACTCACTTATGCATGGAATCTCAAAACAGCACAAAGCAAGTGAAATTTGTTTTTTTTTTTTTTCATTCTAAAGCTGAGTCTTTAAAAATGCTACATTCTGAGAAATGCTTTGAATTGGTAAAGGAAGAAAACGGCTAGAAAATGATTTGCAGGACGGTCCCTTCAAAGCCAGAGCCAGGAATTTTTTTTCTCGCTAGGAGGTGGACCGACTGCAGAAAGGAAAGCCCACAGCACTCGCCTTGACTGTCGCAGTCAGAGGCCACACCACGATGCTCGCAGGGGCCCGAGACTGTCCACCTGCAGTGCAAAGGTGCTGGGGTGCTGGGGAGATTGTCTAGAATTTCTAGACTGAAAAGGCTGGAATTCCTATATGAATAGGTAGCAAAGAATATTCAAAACAAGGTCTTTACTAGAGAGAAATATCGAAATTAAATAACTTGTGGGGCCAGTAGATAGTGCGGTGGTTAAGGTGCTGGACTCCCACATGGCTGAGCATGGTTCAAGGTCCAGATCTGGCAGCTTAAAAATCCTGCCAGGCATGTGTGCGTTCATGTCCCAAATCCCGAGAATGGAGAGGAAGGGATTGTGGCATGGTTGTCGCCCTGCAGGGTGATTCCTCACTTTCTCTTTCACTGTCTCTGTCTCTCTCCAGTGAGAGCATGCACCTTATGGCAAAACAAACAAAACCCTAAAAAAAAAAAAAAAAACTCTGACAAGCAATCTCATGTTCCAGATTTCATATGTTCTAAAATACTCCTCCCTAAATTTTCAGAGTTATTGAAGTTTTCAGGCTCATCTCTTGTTAGCTGAAAGTAAAATTCAATTTGGACCGAGGTCGAAAGACCTTAGAAGCCAACCAGCCCTCTCTGGACTGCCTGATTCTTCAGTGAGCTAGTGATTGCGAGCATTCTGGAGGGGCCTTTGAAGGCAAAGGCAGGCCAGCAGGGCTTGCTAAATGTGGAGCTAACCTGGCAGTCTTTCCACTGTCCTCACCCAGATAGCAGGCTCTTTGAAAAACAAAGTATAACAATGTTCCCAAGAGAATAATTGCCACAGCTACTTGAGGTATTCAGTGTGTCTCAGAAGAAGGAGGGTCCGTATATGGTTTATGTACCCTAGGGATTATCGGGCTGGGCATCACAGCTGTCCAATGTGGTCAAAAGCAAATGACATAAAGGTTTTTGCCATAGGGTACATGTGCTTGGGGTGGGGTTGTGTGTGGGGGGGGATGGCCAAGCTGCAATCCCTTTTCCTCCATTTTCTTCCCAGGATTTTGAGCATGCCCAAGCACGCACACACACTGAGTGCAATTCTCAAGCCATCAGGTCTGGGACTTGAACTGTGGTTGACCATGTGAAAATCCAGTGCCTTAACTACCATGCCACCCGCTGGCCCATGACATAAGGGTCTTATGTCAGGTCCCGGGCAGCCCAGTTAGCATAAGAGCTACACAGGCAAAAGCGAGTTTGGGTTTAATGTCTAGTATGGCTTCCTATACAATAGGCAGAGGCAGAAACTATCTTACTTCTTTTCCTAAAGGCCTTTACTTCTTCAGGAAAATAAACCAGTGGGAGGCAACTGGATCAGTTCATAAATGATTATAATAAAAACTGATGAAGACAAAAGTTGTAATATCAGTATTTAGTACTGGGGCCAGCAGATGGCGTAGCAGTTACATGGCCAACTGTGGTTTGAGTCCCAGACCTGGTGGCTTGAAACTCATGCCAGCTGTGTCTGTGTGTGTGCCCAAGATCCAGGAGGAGAAGGGATAGTGGTGTGGTCATCCCCCTGGAGGGTGATTTTTCACTTTCCCTCTCACTTCCCTCTCTCTCCCCCCACCTTCCAGCACATGTGCCTTAAGGCAAAGGTCTTTGAAAAAATACTAAATACTGGGGGCCGGCAGGCGGCATGGTCATTAAGGGTGCTTAACCACCTTCAAGATGTATAAAAAAATTAAATTCCAATGTAAAAAAATCACAATAAACTTAAAAATAATTATGAGCCATTTAGAGGCAGGAGTAGAAATGACACCATGACCATTGTACTAATTAGATAGGTTAGGTTGAAAGTAATATTTATTTATTTACTTAAAAATATTTACTCATTTATTTATTTATCTGTTGTGATTTTCAGGCTGCTGGGTCTGGGACTTGAACCACACTAGGCCATGTTGGAGTCCAGTGCTTTAATCACTATGCTACCTGCCGGCCCCAAAAGTAATATTTAATTACTTTTAAAAAGTATTATTTATTTGATTTCTTTTTTATTATAATAATAATTATTTATTTCAACCAGAGAGAGAGAGGAAAAGTGAGAAAGCAAGTCACTGGGTCCAGGACTCGAACTATGGTCAGCCATGTGGAAGTCTAGCATCTTAACCACCACGCCACCTGCCAGCCCCCAGTAATATTTAATTCCTGAAAATACTTTATTACCTAATCTTAGTTTAACCTACCAGGCTGATCCTGCTAGTACTTGGTAGAATAGAGAAAAAGAGAAAATGCAGAAGTGTCCTCAGCCTTTTTTTTTTTTTTTTTGTCCTCAGGTTTTTATGAATGCTTCCATGGATCCAAGGCTTGTACAAAGCTGCCTCAGCCCTCTGGTGTCTATCATCTTTTCTTTTTTTTTTTTTTTTTAAGATTTACATTATTTATTTAATTCCATGTGTCAACATTATTTTTTAATTTGACCAGAGAGAGAGAGAGAAAAAGGGAAGGTGAGAAAGCTGACCCCAGGCTCAGGCCTCGAACCGTGGTCAGCCATGTGGGAGTCCAGCGCCCTTAACCACCACACCACCCGCCACCCCCTATCATCTTTTCTTAAAGGAGAAAGCCTAATCGTTCTAGCTGGGAACAGAATTTCAAAGGCTAGCTTCCCGGGAGTGTGACCCTGCTTCCTGTACTGAGTTACTGAAAGAAGACATTCTTGAGAATCTGTATCTATAGTCTGTCATAGAGTCTGAAGAAAATGACACTTTTTGTGACTTCACTATTTAACTCTTCTTTTGTTACTCAATATGGGAATTTCCTGTGAGATTCCAAAATGAGCATACATGAACACATCCAGGTTTAACCCAAAAAGAAACCAAAGCAAAGCACTTTAAAAAAAAAAAAATCTCACCTAAGTTTGATTAAAACAAACAAAAAAAGTACAGTAAAAAGGAAAAAAATACCTTTGCAAATATAGTCTTGACATAAATTGGCAGGTCTCCATGGGGACTTCCATAACCCCCTACAATACTAAACCCCAAGCCTTCAGAGCCTTTCTCCAAAGTAATAATCTTAGGTGGAGGTGTTCTGAAAACACAATGCATGCTGTTTAAGTCGAGGGTAAATATTGACAGGGAATTTCATTTTCATGGAAGAACACAGCTATGAGAGAGACTTTCATACTGAGAAACTATGAAGGTCGGGTTTATCAAATCAAATTCTCAGAGAACAATCTAGAAGTTATTTTACAATTTCCCATGTCATGCCAACTAATCACCAATGTTCTTGATGTTTTAGGGGTTTCCTTTTAGAATCTAATTAAACATAAAGTCATGATGCTGAAATTGTTAAAGCACCTTTCAGTTTACACGTTGAAGCAGCTTGATTTTCAGCTTGTTTACTCCATACCATTATTTCTCGATGTATTTCCTGGTTGTTCACAGCAGCAGCCACAGTAATTGCAGGTGGTCTATGCCATATCTGTTATTAACTGTTTTGAAAGCTACTCTGTTTATTTCAATTTTTTTAAAATTCAATTAAGAAAAAAAAAACAGGCAAAAAAATTCAATTTAACCTTCTCTAAAGTACACTCCTCAGTTCGACTGTGCCCCATGTCAAGCTTACTGTTTCAAGTTGAAGGAAGCTAGCTGGCTATACATGGGGGGACTGTGCATCGAGACAGAGGTAGCGTGTAATGCTAGCGCAGAGGGAGGTGGCTGGTCTTCAGGTGGACCCTTCCCATAACAGGAATAAGAGCCAACAGCTCAGAAACGTGCTCCTTTTCTGCCTGAATACCCCAGCCAGGTCTGCCCTCCGCTCCCACCTGGGTGTGAGTCCTTCCTCACACCCGCCTCCCCAGGATGCTCTCCTGACACCCTCGGGGGAATGAGCCACATCCCTCTCTGTGATCCCTCAGCTCTCGGTCCAGATTCCCACCTGGCACTGACTGTTGCATATCGTAATTACTTCATCTTTCTCCTCTACCAGACCACGAACTCCCCGTGTGTCAGTCAGCTGAGTATTCCCAGCTCCATGCACTGTGCTCATCACAAACTCAGAATCATGACTGTGAAAACGAGAACTGAGATCCAGGAGAGAAGAGCAAACAGCGCCGTAAAGCAAAATGGACAAAGAATCTGCTTCGAATGTTTACTTTAGATTTTCGGAGCTTCGTCCAGTGTGGAAGTCTTCTCTCTCAGAAACAACATTACCTATGTGGGTTCAAGTAATCCAGTGTAAGCTTAGCAGGTGCCAATTTCTTATCCCCAAAGGCTACTGTCTTGAGGAGAAAAACCTAGAGGAACACTGGCATCCCAGACCATCTCGTCTTGTTCGTGGTGGGGTTCATATTTGTACACCTGCAGTGTCACCTGTTTTGTGGCAACATGCATGTCTGAGAGGCAGAGTCACCCGGGATAAATTCAGCTGTTTGTGCATTTGGAACGATTTGCAGAATGGGGATACAGCTGACCTTCGAATGTGCTGTTCTGTCTGATTAGAATATTCTCTCTCCCCTTCCTCTATTTTGCCTGGCTTATTTTAGGCTTGATTTTCAGTGGGTTTGCACTACACCAGCTACTTGCTGTGTTTCCTGGTTGTATACAGCAGGTTCCCATGGTAACTGCTGGTGGTCTATGCCATATGCCTTGTTACCTGTTCTGAAAGTTATTCTGCTTAGTCTTTGAAAACTCAACTTAACCTTCTCCAAAGTCCACTCCCTAATTCAGTTATGCCCCATGTCTCTGATTTCACAGGATCCTCTCTCATTGAACTTAGTTCCCCTCCACTTCTTTAGTAACCATGGGTCTGTTTTTCCAACTCTAGAAGTTTCTAGAGACCTGGGCAATACCTTTCCTTATGTTGCTAAGTTTGACTTCTTAAGTTTGACCTTAGAAAGATGCTCAATAAATATCTGTTGAAATAATGAATTATCCCTGATGGCAGGACAGTAATGACATGTTTTTTTTTTTTTTTAAGAATTATTTTATTTAACTTTCTTTATTTCTTTATTTTAAGTGGACCAGAGAGGGATAGAGTAGGTGGGGAGGAGTGAGAAAGCAAGCCACCAGGTTCTGGGAATCAAACTGGTTAGATGTGGGAGTCCAGCATCCTTGACCACCATGCCAACTGCTGGCCCCAGTAATGGCATCTTGAATAAGGCTCTACTTTTTCCTACTTTGTGGCTTTATAAGTTATCTCAACAATGGCTCAGTGGCCAGACATCAACTTGATTCATCTCTGCGCTCTCAAATACAGCCCCATTCCCAAGGGTATTGAGATGGGACCCTCCATGTCCAAAGCCACTGTTTTAGAGCTAGCCCCTGGGACCACCAAATCATTAGAGGCCTTCAAAATTGTGGGGATTTACACTTGGAAATGTGTTATGGGGAGGGAAGGTACAGCTCTAGTCCTCAAGTTGCAACATCAGATAGGGTTTGCCTCCCTTTATCTCACGATGTCATAACATTTTCAACCAATTAGGGTTTTTTTTTTGTTTTTTTGAGAAGTTTTTGTTATAGAGCTTGTGAGCTTGCCAGAAAGACAGAGGCAGACAGAAAGACAGAAAAGCAAGAAATCACCCCCCCAGGAAGGATGGCCATGCCGCAATCCCTTTTCCTCCATTCTCCTCTTGGGATTTTGGATATATACTAATAAAAGGATTTCCAGATGTTAGGATTATAAGTGATTTGGAGATCTTATATGCTAGTCGTTCCCAGCCTGCCACAAGCTGGGGAATGGCAGCAAAGAAATCAAGATGAAAGAGGTCCTTGTATTTCTAGAGCCACGTCAAAGGATGCTCGAGATACACTAGGTTTAGAAAGGTCACAATTGTTTTTTTCCCCAAAAGGGCCATTGTAATTTGAAAATGTTAGACTTCACTATTTTTGTCATATTTTAATGGTATGTATTTATTACTTGTATAATCAGAAAAAAGTAGATTCTTATTTCATAGTCTTTCCTCAAGAAAAAACAAACTTGAAGATACCATTTAAGTGGATGAACTAAATGGCAGTGATCGCAAGATTCTTCAAATGAGCTATCTATTGGGCTGTCAGAAAAATCATGACATGTTTTTCTATGCAAAAGTGCATCATAAGTTTTCTGATGACCCAACAGATCAGTCAACAAACATTTATTGAGCACCTACTAGTGGCCAGTGATGGAAGTACCGAGAGAAATAATTTCCCGTGGCATTTCTCAAAGTAAGGACTTCTGTCTCATCGGTAGCAGAATCACACTGGGGAGCTTGCTGAAATCAGGTTTCTGGAATCCACTATAGACCACCTAGTCAGAAACTCTAACCATGGGGCCTGGAGAATTAGCATCGTTGAACATGTTCTTTAGATTACTCTTCTGCATATTCTAGTTTCAGAAAGTCTACCTTAAAGAACAACTTTAAATGGGACTACTTCTAATGAAACATGCCAGCAAGTACAAATTCAATTTCAGAACACTATTTTAGCTTTCACAATCAAAGAAACATAGCTCCTTGCATGATATAGCAGGGTGCTCCTGGACTACAAGTCTGTGTTTCATAAGGAAGAAAGCATAGGCACCAAGCCAAAGTGACCCCAGGCTCGGTGGGTACAGGCTCAGAAATAACAGTCTTGAAGAACTCACTCATTAGGGCTAATTCTTATGAGAAATTAGGAAGGTGCCTTCTTGGAGGTTTTCTAAGAGCTGGAAAAAGTAACGTGCACTATCCCCTCCTCTCCGTTAGAGTTACACTGGAAACATGCTCATGAGCTGGGCGCATGAACTTAATAGGCCCTCCACACCCAGAATACTCACTCTGTATCTTCCAGCTGGTGTTCGGCAGTCGAGGAGCCAAGGTAGCAGCCTGTGGACATGTTTTCAAGCTGAGATGCGATGGCATTTATATTGGTATCTGCTACAACCTGGGGGGAAAGTTAGGAGATATTTTCTTATAAGGCAGAGGAGAATTAGAGATACCATGCTAGATCCAGTCGTCAGTCTTCAATCCTTGTGTTGTTCAATCTATACCATTTGACAAAATATATTTTCCTCTCTCTTAGACTATTTTTTAAAATAATGCTTTATTTATTTAATCCCATTTGTCATTATTATTTTTTAATTTGACCAGACAGAGAAAGAGAGAGCAAGAGAAAGGAAAAGAGAGAAAGCAAGCTGCCAGGTCCTACCAGGTCTGGGACTCAAAACAAGGTCGGCCATGTGGGAATCCAATGCCTTTAACCACCATGCCACCTGCTGGCCCCTCTTGGACTATTTTCATTTGGCTCCCAGGACACCCTATTTTGCTAGTTTTTTTTTTTTCTACTTTCTAAATATAAATTTCTAATTTTCTAACCGTAGGGTTAACTATCATGTCACCTGCTGGCCCCTGCCCTGGAGGTTCTTTTTTTCTAAGAATTAGTTAATTTTTAATATAATTATTTTATTTAACCTTTTATTTATCAATTTATTTATTTATTTATTTAAGTTTGACCAGAGAGGGACAGAGACAGAGAGAGAGAGGTGAAGTGAGAGTGAGAAAGTTAGCCGCCAGGTCGGGGACGTGAACCATGGTCAGCCATGTGGGAGTCCAGCGCCCCAACCACCATGCCACCTGCTGGCCCCAAATTAATTAATTTTAATTTGACCAGAGAGGGTTAGAGTGAGAACGAGAGACCGCGAGTGAGCACATGCAAGAGAGAAAGCAAGCTGCCAGGTCTGGGACTCAAACTACAGTTGGCCATGTGGGAGTCCAGCGCCCTTAACCACCACACCACCTGCCAGCCCAACCCTTGCGGTACTTATCTTTTTCCTCTGAACAGAGTTAACTCATCTCATCTAAATTTAACTACCATCCAGGTGAGATGTCCTGGCTGTATCTCCAGCTCTGCCTCTCACCTCGCTCCTGCTCCTTCTGTCTAGTCACTAACAGGACATCTCTTGTGGGATGTCTAGCAGGTATCTCAAACCTGACAAAACCAAACCCTCTGATCAACAGTCTTGCTTCTCCGTCATAATATTCCTTGCTTGGTTTGACTGCAGTTTCAGAATGGGCCGACAGAGGGCGCAGCTGCCTAAATTGCTGAATTTCACTACATCTGTTAAGTACAGGCCTTTCCAGCTGGCTCAGATCCCATTTGGGAGAAGATTCTTCTCCTAGGGGGAGACACTGTTATGTGCAAGTTACAACACCGTCTAGGAGCACTATCCCTTGAAGAATAATTGAATGAGCCGGGCTATTTAGGATAAACGACTTAAGGAGCAAATGACAGATACTCCCTGACGACCGATGTTAGTTCTCTGACTGGCGGCTCTCTGCTCTGACACGGGCAGGTGTTGGGAAAGTTAACTCTGCACGCAGTCTTGGTCGTCCTACCCACTCTTATTGCATAGCTTCACCTTTACAAGCCTGCTCTTCCCCAGCTTCATCCCACCACCCTGCCCCATGCTCCATGACCCATGCTTCCTGGGTTTTCTCCTGCTGCTGGGTCAGCCTTTGCCATTCATTTGCTACTTCACTCACCACACATCTTCCTGGCTTTAAATTCCAACAATCCCAGCTTCATCTGCTATAACCAATCACCAACTTGAGATTTGCAGTGTTTTTTTTTTTTTTTTGAATGTTTATTATAGGGCATGTGCTCTTGCCAGAGAGACAAAGAAAGAGAGAGACAAAGAGAGAGTGAGAAAGCACTCATTTCTTTTCCTCCATTCTCCTCTCAGGATTTTGGACATGCACACACATATGCACCATCTGGCATGTTTTTCAAGCTGCTGGGTCTGGGACTCAAACTGCACAGTCAGTTATGTGGGATCCAGTCACTTTAACCACCATGCCACCAGCTGCCCTATCTGAATCTGAATATTTCAAAGGTTTATCAAAATTAACACAACAAAATCCCTACTATTGATCTAACAATCCAATCAATTCATTTTTGTTTTACTCATTTTTAAAAAAGATTTATTTATTTAATTCCATTTGTTATTATTATTATTTTTAAATTTGATCAGAGAGAGAGAGAGAGAGAGAAAGGAAAAGCTAGAAAGCAAGCCGCCAGGTCTGGGACTCGAACTGCAGTCAGCCCTGTGAGAATCCAGTGCCTTTTACCACTATGCCATCTGCCGGTCCCATTTTCCTCATTTTAATAAATTGTACCTCTGGCTGCCCAGGTAGAAATCCAGTAGGTGTAATATTGAAAATACTTGAGGGGCCAGCAGGTGGTATGGTGGTTAAGGCACTGGACTCCCACATAGCTGCCTGTGGTTTGAGGTGAGGACCTGGTGGCTTGCTTCCTCACTTTCCCTCTCTCTCTCTGGTGAGCACACATTTCCAATAGCAAATTAAAAAAATAAAACAATAATAAATAAAATTGAAAAATTCTTTTTCTTTCTTTCTTTTTTTTTTTTTGGAGAGGTTTTTGCTACAGGGCGCGTGCGCTTGCCAGACAGACAGAGAGAGACATAGAGACAGAAAGCGAGAAATCACCCCCCGGGGGGATGGTCACGCCTCAATCCCTTCTCCTCCATTCTCCTCTCGGGATCTTGGGCACGCATGCACAAGCGCCCGGCGTGAGTTTTAAGCCACCGGGTCCGGGACACGAACCGCAGTTGACTATGTGGGAGTCCAGTGACATAGCCATTACGCTAACTGCTGGTTCCCAAAATTGAATAATTCTTAAAAAAAAAAAAGAAAAAAGAAAAGAAAAGCTTGATTACTGGCTGGTGTCTGTGCAACTGGCAAGGATGCTAAACATGCTCACTCTGAATGTGACCTTGACGCCTCGCACTCTCACCTGCCATATACCACGTTCTCTAGATTCCGCTTCCCAAATCTTCTCATCTAGAGGTGACCACACTAATTCAACCCATCAGCGAGTCCTCCTACCCCACTTTTTTTTAGGTTTTTACCATAGGGCATGCGTGCTTAATGGGGAGGGAGGGAGGGAGGGAGGGAGAGAAAGTGACAAATCACCCCCTTGGGGGATGGCCATGCTGCAATCCCTTCTCTATTTTCCTCTTGGGATTTTGGGCACACATATACACATAGTGTGATTTTTCAAGCTGCTGGATCCAGGACTCAAACTGTGGTCAGCATGTTAAGAGTCCAACACTTAAACCACCATGCTACCTACTGGCCCCTCAAGTGCCTTTTAATGGGAATCTCCAGTATCCTCTTATCTCTCTCACCCATGGCAGCCAGTTATCTTTTTAAATATAAAATAGTTAAGGGCATTCCCCTGCTTAAAACCTTTCAACCTATGCTTCTTGGCCTGTTGGCTAAGATCAAGTGTAAAACCTTTCAGGCATTTCCCTTTGTACTTGGAATAAAAGTCAGACTTCCTAATTAGCCCAAAAAAGGCCCTACCCTAGCTTAGTCCTCTAATCTCATCTATCTGTTTTTTTTCTACCTCATTTTTTTTTTTTTTCTTTTTGGGGAGGTTTTTGCTTTAGGGCCACTGTTCTCGCCAGAC